TACAGGTAGCAAATCCCAGAAGACTTTGAACTTTGACTGATTGCAATGATTTAACGTTCTTCAGAATGTGTGGCCTTGTTTAAAAAGCAACATGTCAAATACACTTGAAGCCAAACATATGATTTTCAAGATGATTATATTGGTGGACTATCTCCTCACCATTTTGACAACTCGGTTTAGATAAAATCTATATTATAAGTTTCATAATATGACCTTTAGAAGCAAAGAAAGCTGAAACTTACTGAACATGGCTGACAGGACCTTCCTCAGTATTTCTAATGCGACAAAGAACGGGATATGTCTCGTTAATTAGAATGGGAGGCGTGTGCTCGATCGTTACTTCAATGGAAGCCATGCGAGGGAGTATTCTATATGTAAGAGAAAAAAATAATTAAAAAAATAACTATTCCAAGGAATGATTTAACATTTACTTAGACTTCGGAATAATCTAACTCTCCTATGGGAAAACGAAAGCAAGAATTGGGATTTTTATATATTTCCAATCAAATTATCAATAGTGATAATAGAGAGAATATAAATTGGGGATTATCTTAATATAGCGGCATTTATTATCGAGATAGCGTTTTCCTAAATTTTAAATTTTCGCTGAAATCATATTTCCTAAAGCCTCCTCAGAAAATGTCTATAATTCCAATTATGCATGTGGCCAGATCAGTTACAAACTTCAAGAAGTTCAGAGGTTACATCCCATACTTAGAGGGACAATGAATGCAAGTATATTCAAATAAGATCCTGTTATAGCACAATTCCTCAATAAATTATGGGCCAAGGAGATACTATTTGTTTATTAATAATAGTATTAATAATTTGGTAAGTAAACGATACAGCCAGTAATTGAAAGCCAAAATAGTTTGAGATATTATAGGTGGCGAACTGCATATAGAGCCCAAGGTTTTCACATGGTGGTAATTAACTATTTTAGGCCGCGTGATTGAAAATAGAAATCAATGTAGCAGGGAGAAAAAAAAGGGATTCTACCAACTCGGCGTAAGGTCGATTTTCCAATAGGCCCCATTTAGGAATGATGACTGGCAGTTGAAGGAAGAGGCTGGGCTCATTTTTGCATTCAGTTTTAACCTGCCGGTGATACAAGTCTTGAGACTGGAACGAGTGATTGGTCCCCTCTCTAATCCCTGTATGTGAGTTTATGGCATCACGCTCCCGCATCGAAGGTAGGCGGGCCGGTGGACGTCGGGTATTTAACATGACCGGCTGGTTTAAGTTGGGGGACCCGGCAACTTAAGTAAAAATGCAATAAGGATAAAATAACAATAAATATAAAAGGTGTTACTCAAAAAATAGGCTTGAAAAAGGGGGGAGATAACAAAGCGTTAAAAAGGAAGGGAGAAGTAAATGAAGTATGTATTAGTCTTTTTACATGAACATGCAGGTTGTCTATTTGTTGAGGGCAATGAAAAATAGCTCATAAAAATTGACTGCTAGCTAGTTAAAACATATGTAATAATGAAATATTCATAAATAGAACCTGATTTTTGTCTGGATTTCTGTGCTTTAGCAGAATTGCCAATTAAAGTGAAGCTCAAGCCCAAAAATTGCTAATAAGAAAACAAGAATCGTGAGCAAATAATAATGCCAAATCTTTGATCATGGAAATTCTGCAGAAGCACAACACATCAAAACAGTAGTCTAAAAAAAGTTAAATTAGAATAAGCATTTAATACCTTAACGACTGCAAAGTCTTGACTATATTTGTAGATGTCTTAACAGTGCCAACGAAATAGGCATGAAAATAAAAATTTTAAAGAAATAATAAAAGGATGGCTAAGAAAATCTAGCCTTCCAGTCACCTACTGCCGGACTGGGTCCACAGCTCACGGACACCAGCTGGACCTGACGAAGTAACACTACTCGAACCATGTACTATTTTGTTGGTGGGAAGAGAGGAGTTAGAAGAAAACAGGGCTGGAGGAAGTCGATGCCAAGGAGCAGCAGGGCCCTGACTGGCTTTTGGTACCAGGGGATAGAAAAACGTCAAGCCAGAGTCACGTTTTATTGGGCTAGAAGGAGCCTTATTTCCACCAGGACCATATCCACTGTTGTATGCAACATTAGGTCTGGGCGGAGTGTTACCCGCAGACTTGCCGTCCTTTGAAAGGCTAGATGAAGAGGCATCCTCGACTATTCCATCACCAATATCCCCATCTACTACGGTGAAACGGCGAGGCCGGGCCCATAGTCCCGTAGCTGCCCAGCCTGTGACGCCGCCGATAAGGCTAGGCCAGGCATCGGGATAACTACATCGCCAAACCAAACGGCAGGGTGATGAAAGATTGACAGGGCTTTTGGATCCAATTATATTGTTAGTCGTTGCAGCTGAAAGTCTAGTCAGGATAGTGTCTACCTGAAAAATAAAATAAAGACGTTAAAAAAAGGATAAATGTATATTTCAATAAAAGAAATGTAAATTTAGCAAAAAATAACATGAAAGTAATAATAAAAACAAAACAAAAACAACGATTTTTATTAAACATAAGAGACGAGTAAAATGAAATGGATATAAATATCTTCAGAGTTTAAAAAAATAATGAATAAGAGTTCCAGTTACCACAGAGCGCATAAGACGGTGAAGGACTGATATGTGAATTTTTCTCACAATGATAAGAGTGGACCACACGTTTCCATTAAACTTCATTTATTATTGCTTGACCAAAGGTATTCTCGTCCATAAGTCGAACCAGAGGAGTAGACTCTTGATATGTTATCACCACGTCAATAATGCTTCTAGTAACAGGGCAGACATGAATTCCAAGGAAGGCCAGGCCTCAAGCGTATCACTTTTTTGCGGGAGTGACGAGGAAGCAAACTTGTGTTTGCTATATCAATAGACTATATTGAAGATATAAAGACCAAGATGTTGTTGCCTCTGTTAGGGTCGCAGTCTTCTTTCGATTTATAGAAATGGGTTGACCTCGTTGTCGCAACTTGGTCTTGTGTTCAGGGGGACTATGTAGAACGCACCGAGTCCGAAGTGTCTGCCATAGTAGTTGTCTGGTTTCCAGCATCTGACAGTGGACTTGATACATTCTCAAACGTTTCGCCGGCATCGTAGTTGGCATCATCAGTGA